TTCACCAGACCTGCAGCCCAGAAGAGTTCTGTGGCCATTTGTCTAATAGTCTATTTGCATCTTTTTTTGATGTGCTGAGGAAGAGAAAAGGAAGGGAAAAGGAAGAAGTGGTGCAAAATCCGTTTGGAATATTGGTGGTGTCTCACACAGCTAAAACAGTGCTCTGACACTGTAGCATTATGTCCAGTTGCTCAACCAAGTCTGAGGGCAACACCAGCCAAAGCACAGCCTAGGTCTCCTTGTAGAATAGGTGCTGCCATTAGCTTTGCCAGTACTCCATAGTTTATCATGGAAGAGATAAGACTTCAGGGTTGCAATGGAACGAATGTAGTCTGACAGTATCTGATAGCATTGGTTGCTTTATCCTACATGTTCAATAGGATAGAAAAAGATTGCATTGCCTGTCACCAAAACAGAAAATCAATACTGACTCAGAATGAGTGCCAGGTCTATAATGACTGTACACAGATGTTACTAGAGTAAACTTGAGGAAAATATGATAAAAGCTTAACAATCAGCCATCCCCCATTGGGTGAAAATATTCAGAGTAGCTGGTTGAGTGGGAACATGTGCAAAATGAATGAATCGCGCATGGATCCCAGATGCATGAGAACATCTGTGATGATGATGCTGGCATTGAGAACTACTTGCATATTCATGCTATCATTATCACTTTTGCTTCTGAGCAGCTCCTTATTGCACAGAAGAGCTACAACTCTCATACCTACAGTCAGCAGCTCTGAAATCATTGGGTTATCCAGTCAACAGCAGCATCCTCAGTTTTGGTCAAACAAATGACAAGACAAGTAGGCATCATGCTTAGCAATTCCAGCATTTCATCTACACAGACCACTTGGTGGACATCTCTGCTGCCTTCTGTAATCATCTTTCATTCATACTACAGCAGAAAACACTGGCCTTTAGAAGCTTCACAAGCTGTCACTAGTTACATTTCCCCAAGGGTAAGAGAGTGCATTTTGGTGTTACATGCTGTGCAAGTTCATGTTCAAAGCTCCTCTGTGCTTCCAGAGTAGTGTTAAAGGTGCCTACACATAAATAAACTATTCATATTTTACAGTTGCAGCAAGTGAACTGAACTGGACCATGTACAGGTATCAGTATGAGACTGAGCATGTTCAGTGATGCACAAGTTCAGACCCCTTGACTACAAGCTCCAGGCGATGGGCATCTTATCCTAATGGCCAGTTGAACTTGCACCACACATCATAAAATCACAGAATGGTTTGCATTGGAAGGGACCTCAAAGCTCATATAGTTTCACCCCTTCTGTCATGGGCAGGGACTCCTTCCACTAGAGCAGGTTGCTCAATTAGAAAAACAATAATAAACCACTATGTGATATGGAAAGACAGCAGATCAGGTAAACAGTTGTAGAGCTTGCCTGGAAATAAACTCACCATCTCTCATATTGTTATTACAGATGTAACTATTGTTTCCCTGATGTTTCTTACTTCCCACTGCTTAATAATACTTATGCAAGCTGGTTAAATCTATGTCATTTGCATGAGACAAACAATAGAATGAACTCCATTCCCAGTCTTTGTGTCTCCACTATCACTTGCACTTTCTAATGTAAGCTGACATATGGTAATGAAGATGAGAAGGGTTTCCACCTCTACCAGTTCAGCTTTTGTATGATACATGTGTCCCACAGGTACCTCCCACACATTGCTATCTTGTGCTGCCTCTGACCAGCGTCATAGTGAACTACTTCATCTTTCACATGCTCCTGTGCTCTGAAAATTATATTAGGAACTTCTGGCAAGCTCAGTGCTGCAGCAGTTTCTGCGCCTCCTAAATTAACCTTTATTTGCTCCAGCCATGACCTTTTGACATATGTGACACAAAGAGGCAGCCAAGGGCTGATGCTAATGAGCTAGAAAGAAAATTAAGAACTAAATGTAACCTCTTAGTAAGTAAATAATTTATATAAAAGTAGGAGTATGATCCTCACTGTCTGATCTAGAAGAGTGAGTTGCTAAACACAACCTGTGATGGAGAACAGAATGCAGATTGACTAATTTTCATTAAATAACCTTATTTCCCCCAAAATTCAAGAAACTAAAACATGTATTATGCAGTTGTTTCCTTTTTGTTAAGACTGATCTGTGAGAATATATAGTCAGAGCATATATGAAAATGTGCATAAAAGTTTGGATTTATTACTCTGGGGTATAAACTGGAGCATAAGCAGAACCATATCAGGTAGTTAATATGGGCATTAATGCAACTTTAAGCTGATTTACATGGTTAAAACTTTTCTTTGTTTGACATAACTTTTGAAAGACAGATCAACCCTGATTAAAACAAAAGTGCAGCATTACCACCCTTTCTCTGGGGTTTTCTTTCTGTAATGCCTCAGACAGGTTGAAAATGGCTGAGCAGTCACATGCTAACACTGTTGTCCATCAGGCTAACCAACACTGCTGCTCCTTCACTTCTCCCCACCATTTGCCTATGTGGATGTGCTGTTCCTTCACCTACATGCAGGCTGCAATCTTTTTAGACCAGAGATCTTCTCACACACCCACCCTAGTCACTGCACGAGTGAGGGTCCTAGCAAAGCCACAAAACAAATGAGTGCATTGTGGTGTTAATAGCTTGAAGAGCACTAATTTTAGAAGCTTCCTTTAAACCTGGGGCTCCTTTACAGTAATTTCTGCAATACAGCCTACAGCTTTTTAGATTATAACCTAAAATATTTCCATCAATATTTTAGATCCATTACTATCATTGTGAATTACTGAATACTGATGCTATCTGTTGCCTACAAAAGCAATGTTGTGGCATTTGTTTACTTCTGGGTTTCTAAAGGAAGTTTTTTTCCTCTTCTTACAAAAAGGTTGTTCTTTTATTATTTGCCACCAGGAACTTAATGAAACCGTTATGTACCTAAACACAGAAGGCATCACACCTTAGAATGGCAAAACTGCAGTGCACAAGGTACAGCACTGAGGAACTCCATCCTACATTGTCAGCTTTATCAGTACCCATGCTATATAGCTGAATTTTGCCAGGTGCTACATCATAATTCACAGGATCTATTGCTGGCCAGGAAAAAAATTCACATTATGTCAGTTACAGGCAGACCTGACGAATTGGAGGCTCCAAAGCTTTTTTTCCCTCCACTTTTTCATCCCCTTGCTGCTGCAGCTTGATGCAGAGAGAGCTCCAAGCTGCCCTCACTGGCATAAGCAAACAGTATTGTCCAGGGGCCATGCCACTAGCTGGCACAGTCTGCGCTGATCCTCAGGCCAGGCACAATTCCCTTAGGGTACTTTTTCATGTCACTGAGTTATGTATGGAGAAAGAGCACAGTTTAGTAAACATCACAGTGTGCTGGGGTTCGAGATAAACAGTCTCTCTATGTAGCACTGCCACCTCTCCAAGTGGCTTTGGGCAAGTCAGTAGGCTTTTCAGCATTTCCTCTTGAGACGTGGAGGCAGATCTACTTCACTGAAATGTACTGATGGAAAAATGCTAAGAATCAGTCTCTTTAGCACCAAATTCTAATGTCTGTATTCTGTTGGACTAATCTCATCTGTGCGCAGACTGCACAAAAGAGAGGGGGAAAAAGAAGCAACAAGGTGACAACGCTCAGTGCCTGATCAAACTAAGCTGCTCCTAATTTTGCTCAATACATCTCTCAAGCTGCAGCTTGTCAGAGTCACCTGAATAATCCTGGTTTAATTCCAATCCATATTTCTACCTAAAAAATTGAAAATCTTTAGCATGCAATTAATATAGCTGGCAATGGCACAGTACATCCATCTGCCCTCTTCCACCAGATGACGTTTAATAATCAATATATCCAAAAGGCTCAAATAATTTAGGGCTCATATTTGCTCTCAGGAGTGGCTCTTGCTGGCTAAAGGTTTCAGCACTTCCCCATAAATTTAAGGACTGAAGCAGGGGGTGGAACAGGGTAAGAGATTTGTGGGGGAATTTCTGTGTATGTGAGTGACAATTCATAAAGATGGCTTCTCGTAAGAAGAAGTTGCTTTTGTGCAGTCATTTTGAAGTATTAAAATTTGATAACTCCTTAATCACTGCAGTTTAATGAGACAGAGGCAGCAGGTGAAGGGGGAATCCATCATGTCATTTCAGGTACCCTGCCAGGAACATTTGCCATGACGCAGTAGTCTGAAGCTGTCTTTTTGCAGCTGCAGTTCAGAAGAGGGATGCTGTAGTCTTCCAAGAATGTTTGTTTTTCCTGAATAAACCTCCTTGTGGAATCAAAAGTCATCTTTTACTCTCTCCCCCCCCCCCCCCAAAAAAAAACAACAACAAAACACAAACAAAAAAACATTGCTCAAAAAATTGCAAACAAAGCACCTTTAAGCACACAGAATTTTTCAATCCTAAAATTGGCCAAGACAGGTTATTTTATCCTGTAGAAGTGTTTGTTGCAAGTGTCACTGCAGACCTTTGTTTGATGCAGTGCTTAGGTTTTAGTTCACACTTAATACATGTTAGCTAATAAAAAGCAAAGTCCCCAGAGATACTTGTGGCCTCTCAGGTATTATTTTTTCATATCATGAAATTCTTCTATTTTTGAAGATCCGGTGGGACAAAATGAAAACCCAAATTCCTTTCCACAGATGAAAAAGAGGTGGAGGAGCAGACATCACTCATAGATCCCATGATCCAATCTTAAAACCTATGCACACTGTTCCTCACATCAGTAAAGCACATTGCTCAAAAGTCTGAGGCATTGGGGCCCACTAGTGAGGAAGTGATTAACAAGACATCCTGTTTTGCAATGGCTAGTAGAAACCACTTGGGCTGTTTCAGCGGATATACTTCATAAGTCAAAGATACATTCCATAGTGAAAGCTGCTGCTTCCTTTTATAGAAAGGTATTGCTTTGTTGTTTCTGTTCATGCCGAGATTCAGCAAACTTATTCCATGTGGAAAGTATCTGATTAGAACAATACTGGAACATCTATAGCTTGTACCTTTCTCCGATACTTTTTGAGACAACATCCACATAGCCAAATATCTTCAGCCAGTTCTCAGCACCCACCCCTTCTGTCAACGCTTAAATTCCTCATTTATTAATTTGATATTAGATTGTCCCAGGAATCATTTGCTGTAATCCAAGATACAGAGAAGGTATAATAAATTTTTTAAAATTGAATCATTTCCTTCCTCTTTGTCCTGTCAGACAGGATATTAGCAGTCTGTCAACCATAAATCGCAACATGACCAGATCTTCCCACTACTTAAGGGAATATAGTTAAATTTAAGGTTTCTCAGTTTCAATCATCTAATAATTCTTAACTTGTTCTGTTATTAATAACCTTTGAAAAAATGGTATATATTTATAAGAACAGGGAGACAAATATTGTGACAGCTTCTATGGCAATTCCAGGACCACTGTTACTGAAGTAGTTCCATTATGAAGCCGGATTACTTTCTAAGCAACTGTTCTGATATGCCAATCAAGAAATCAGTCTGAGGCAACTAAATAGTGATTATCTTGCTGCACCTCCTCTCAAGCTGCTTACATCCACTACCACCATGGTCAGTACCAGTTTGACATGCATACTCAGGGAATTCAATCATCTGTTCTTTCTCTGTTATCCATTTTCTGCAGGAATTGGTACGAAGAGCTTTACATCTCTCAACATTTGACATTGAAGAGGGAGAACAGTCACAAGGAGACCCAAGTATCACACCAAGTGTGCTCACATAGAGAGGAGCTGGGATGGGAGACCTTCCCTGTAAACCTCAGCTATACAAATGAGAGATCAACACCACATTTTAACACACACGTTTTACAAGACCAAAGTCTAAGCCAATTCATACCATATGTGACAACATTAGTGTAAATATTCCTCTTTCTCTGACACAGAAAACTCATTTGTTGCTGCCTACTACATCTTTTGCACTAGGCCACTGTTGCTGCCTTCCTTCTTCCCAAGACTTATTACAAAATTTAAGTTTCCAAAAAATAAATCCCTTTCAGAATCAGGTTCTGAAAACAGGAAAGGGGGAAAGGCTTTTTAGACCTTGAAAGTATAAGATACTAACTGAATGTTTTTCCTTTCTTCTTCCCCTGATCACTCATTCTCCTTCCAACTGCCTATAAACCCCCATGACCATGCCTAACTGCCACTGGTTGAGTGGATACAATTCTGCTTAGAAGTCATTAGAAGTGTAATTTTAACCTTTTGACCATCAGCCTTCCCTTGCTTGGAACAAACATTTTGATTTCTCAGAGGCAAAACCTTTTTATTGTTTTACCCCAACCACTCAAAAGAAAGCATTCCTTCATTTGAAGTCAAATTTACAAAGCCACTCTAAGCGCAGAAATTACTGTCCTTCCCTTGTCTTTTATCTGTATCGTTTCTCATTTTTTCCTCTTTTGACACAAGCAGAAAAATTCTGCTTCCTTCCCTTTATATGCAAACTTTGCAAACAATATCTCTAAAGCCAATTAGAAGTCAGGCTTGTCATTTCCAATCCACCAGCAGAAAAAGCAAGCAAGCAACACCACAGAGTAACGACACCTGTTTTAACACTGATGGCTTTTTTTGGAGAGAGGTTGAAGTGCTATTTAGAATACATATGCTTGCTTGCCTTTATTTTGCACAGAATTGGCTTCAAAATAGATAAAGCCTCTTGGGTTCTCAGAAATGAATGATTCTTCTTCTCTCTTCCCCCCGCCCCCAGCTTCTCACAAACAGCAGCCAGTTCAGTATTGTTTTCTGCGAAGTAAGTTCTGCTTAACAACAACAATCCTTTCCATCTTGCCAGCTTTGAAGGCCACCCTTCGCCTTCTTTTATATATTTCTCAAAATTATAGGTCCCTCACACAATCTTCCACCTTCATAAATTGATTCTAGGCTTTCTAAAAATCTCTACAGCTCCCACTTCAAAGATTTGGATCAACAGAAAGGTACTGAGGCAAGGTATACTTTATTCACTTTTCCACCACTTGAAATTACTGCAGAATTACAGCACCTCTAATTCCCTTCTCTTCTACATAAGCTCCAGTCTTCATCAGTGCCTGAATTCAGACCTGTATTTTGGTCATTCCTCTCCATTTTATCTCAAAGACTTTCAAGAGGACCTGTAAGGCAGCACTATTTTCCAACTAACTATAACCATCCCTATGTGCTGGTTGTCTCCTGGGGATGGTTACAGTTGAAAATGATCCTCAGCAAGAACTAAGAACACCACCTGAGGTCAGATCCTTCCTTCTGTAATGGTTATATGGAAGATTACTCTATTCCGTATAACATTAAATATTAAACTTCTCTAAAGGCCATGGTGTCTTCATATCAATTGCTGCATGGACATCAACAGAGCACTTGCCAGGAGCAATACGAATAGGCCATGAAGACTAGAGGGTCTTACATTGTTTAAAACACCTGTATGAATGAAAAGATGACATTTTTACTTTCCATTGTTTTGTTTTTATGGACGTATCAGGACTTAAAGTTGTTGGCTTCTGGTTCTTATCAGAATACATTTGCTGTCAATAGCTTTTATTAAAAGTTATTATTAGGCAACTTTTCACATTTATCTCTTATCACTTTCCACTTCAGAAAACCTTATCACTCCTTTCACTAAGTGTATGATAATTGGAGCTTTGCAATTACAGGTACAACACACACAGATTTAATGGACCAATTTGACAAGCTGAAAGAATTCCAGTTCCCCTATCTATTTAGCATTTTAATAGTGCTTCTCTCTAATTAGTCTGTAGTTACAGTTACCAAAGTAATTGTCAATGACTATAACCATAAATAAGGCAGATCTGTCAGGGCTAGCCTGACCTTACAATGGATCAGGACCTTTTCCGAGGAATGAATAAATGCGCTACAAAGTTTCAGTCAGAGCCAAATGTCTCCTGGGATTTGAGAATAAAAGTTAGATTAATAAACAACCTACAGGCAAGACCAGTGAAAAGAGTCAGGCACCATTTCCAGTGCCTTTCAAACAAAAGAACAGAAAGGCAGTGCTACTCAGAAAGGGTTATAGTGATGTACTAAACTAAGATCACTTCTATAAGCATTCCTGCATTAAGCTGCACTTTCTAGGTTAGTTACTAGATGTGCAGGCTATATTACAGGATGTGTAGGATGTGTGTCACTCTCTTCCAGGTGTGAGGGAATACACCAACCCAAACACCACACGGCTCCATTGCTTACCTCCTCCCGTTTCCTCCCTGAGGTGTTGCTCCCTTTCTACACCAACACAAGCAGTGACTGAATGTTCTTTTTCACATACACTTTACAACCACTGAAAGCAGGAGAATCTTGCAAGAAATTTATACCATGTTAAGTCTTTTGCTGCCCAACCTGGAGACACAGGATCTTTTGAGAATGTATAACAGCCTCTGACTTATTCCAAATGCAAATGCACTAAATATTACAACACATATGAAGTAGCTGTGACTTTCTACATGCTGCACCAAACAGTTCTGTCCTAAGAAACACTAAAGGTGTTTCGAAGAAATCAGCTTCTCCTTTGTACCTTATTGCATAACCATTTGTGCCTGAAGCCCTTTGCCACAGTTTAAATTACTATGTGTGAGCTCTCATGAGAGCCTGGGAAGCGTCATTTTCTTTTCTGATAGAGGTAACTCTTGGCCCTACAAAAGGTTTATCAAAGGTTAGAAAGGGAGCATAACAAGCAATGGGAGAAGAAACCACAAGGAAACACCCTTACCTTGGAAGTCTGACCTAATGCTATAAAAGAAAAAATATTTGTTCTGTTGTCCTTAAAAATCTAAGCCTACAGTCACTCAAAAACCAACACAGGATTTTTTTTTCCCCTCAGAGGATACTTTTGTTCTTAGAATGAATCAATACAATTAGGCTGTAAAATATTAGTGAAAACTGCAAGCTCAGGACAGGGGAACAAACAAGTGGTTGTCTCCATATATACATATGTATATATATAGTTGGTGTATTTCATTTTCTAAATTTCTACTTTATTATGGCTGTGAAACATTTATTCCAAGAAAGTTAAAACAATGCAATGAACAGAATGGGGGGAAAAGGATATAAGAGATAGCAAACTTAACAGTATAGGTACATGTGTTTGTCTCCTAACCTAAGCTTGATTTGATAAACCAGGGACTGACAGGGGGTGACTCTACTTCCACAGGGCAGAACAACAATTAGCTCCAATTGGTTCAAGTCCCAGTCCCAGGAAAAGACATCAGTTGCTGACTCAATACGAAGTGAACCAACATATTTCCTTGGAGCAGACAATATCTCAGATATGGCAAGCAATGGGGCAACTCACAAACTTGTGGGAATAAAACTGTTCTTCACAAGCCCCAGGTGCTGGAACAAAAGCAGAACCCTATTATGGTAGCAGTGCCAGATGCCAGAATTATAGGTTTATTTCACCAACACTTGTTACTTGAGGGCAGCCAGGCTTGTATACTTTGCCTGACCAGACACTTTTCTTCACTTGCCTCATCCTTAGGCTCATACCTCTGAAGTGAATTTTGCAAGAGGATCATGCATCTCACAGACAAACCTTTATCTTTCTTTTTGTTCATCCCTTGCAAATTGCCCAATTCTCATCATGACCTTACTGAGTACATTCAAAACCACAATTACTTATGTGAATGATTTCCAAGTTCCAACCGCAAATGACAAAGGATGTGCAACTTGTTCCACAGAACATGCAGTGAAATTTAACCAGACAGCCACAGACTTCAATATTAGTTGTTACTGCTTCTGCTGTACTGTCAAACACAATATCCAAAACAGAAACCAGAGATAGAATCTTCACATTGAACTCCAATACTTCAAGTCCGAGTGCCCACCCTGCCATCCTGTAACCAAATTCACTGAGAGTGAGGATCCGAAAATTCAGTCTAAAAATGTCATCTCTCTCCCACAAGCAAGAAGTCCTTGTTTGAATCTGGATTATCAGAAATACCCCCTTCCATCAGTATCAAAAGCTGTGACTGAATTTTAATGATTTTTTCATCAGTATTTTTTGAAAATAAGACCACCTCTATATTGGCAGGGAATGAAGCTGCACTAAAATACAGAAAAATCAGGTTTCTCAGTATTCTAGGTTTTAAAGATGTCTTCCAAATACTTTTCCCCAGCCTTA